ACGTACTCAGAGAACAGTTTCAATATAATTTGCAGCGATCACAAATATAATTGTCAGAACATTCGAGGATATCGACACAAGCCTCAGATGCCCATTTTTGACAGCAAGTGCTTCTTGCAATGCCATATTTTGAAGATGCCTCTCTTTGGTTAATTTCTTTTGCCAGAATTTTTTAAAGTGCAGTTTTTAAATTATTTTCATCCCACAAACCTTTTTTTTTACTATTCATGTTGCTTAGGTGCAACTTTTAACCAAAATAATGAATACTAATAAAAATAAGAACACACAAGATTAAGATTTTTGCTGTAATAGGTTGTTTGGCAATAGAGGAAAACGTTTTTGTTTGGAACTGGAGAACAGTGAACCCATTAAAAAATTTTTTGGTGAAAACCAATGCACTGTATGCACAAAATACAAAGGTAAAAAAATACTTATCAATAAAAGATATAATAACGCAACTCACAGGCAAATTAATTGGTAGATATAATAATTTATAATTTATACGGTGCACCAATTTTCCGTCATACGCAACAATAAATCGATCTCCTTACTAACTGTGCACACGCGACTGGAACGTGTTAAAACCTGATCGTTGTTTGATCTATTCCCTCTACGGTTTACGTGGAAAAATGGCTCGGTAGCGATTCAACTTTTACAGATATAGCTAATGTTTCGGTATTAGGTGCCGTCCGTCGTAAGGGGAACTCCCTCTACATTTGCAAAACGGATATGAGACCTTTGATAATTTATCGTTAGAATTTTTCTTTAAAATTAAATGCATGACATTTCGCTTTGTACATTAAATGATTTATTCGATTAAGCATGCAGAACATCAATTTTCGCATCTTTTTAATAAAATGAATTCTTTCGTTAAATATGCCTCAATCGTTCCACCTCAATCCATCAAATATTATCTCTTAAGTTGATATGACATACGTATCGCGTACGTAAATTTGCAATTTTAGCGATAGCAAAGAGGTTTTACAAGCGGCAACAGTGCTCGCATTGCGATTTTACGAGCCGATTATCATGTAGGTCTTATGCAATTTTCAAGTTCTAGGTCTTTTCCTTAATTACAACTGATTACTCGTGGAACTGACGTGTGCTTTAACGATAGTTGCAGAAATAACGCAAGTAGACATGTAAGGGAATAGAGAGAAGGCAAATAGTATCACTTCCAAATTTTTCCTTTTTCCCGCGTCTATTTTATCACTACTCATTATTTAAAAATCAAAAACCAAATATAGCTAGCAAAGAAGTTTAAAATTTTGCAATCGTGAAATCAGGTAAAACTGGATTTTTTTTAAATATTTGAAATTATATTTTTTTAATTGCTGAATCGTTGAATGAGATTTAACCTATAATTCTATGTCATACGATATCTTTTTCTTCTATTTTGATATAATTCCTATGCTTGTTAATTTTATTTCTCTCATTGACAATAAAATTTTAAAGAAAAAAGTAGCTTATGGGACAAATAATGACAATTTTTAGTTGGGTAAATAATGTCAAGTTAAAAAACTTTTTTAATATTTGAATATGAT